CCCCTAACCTCCCTCCCTCTCTCTCTCCTTCCGGTCAATCGGCGCACCACGACTCCTTTTCCGCCGCGTCGTCTGCTTCTGCTCCTCTCGAGCACACACACACACACACTCGGGCGTGACTGTGTGCACGAGTGTGTGTCTGTGTGAATGTGCACGTGAAATCCAATTTGATTCGTGCAGAAGTGCGCGCGCCCGGTGCCAAGCCCTCCGTGCATACAGACAGCGCGGCGACAGTCCCAGACTGCCGTTCCGCTCACAGAAAGCTGCCGCCTGCCGTGCCACCACCACCACCACCACCACCACCGGCCGGCCTCTCCTCTCTGACGTCTGCAATTTTTTTGATTCTATTTTCCCAGCTCGGAATGACGAATTATTATCTCGCACGGTACTCTGGGGAGGATATGTGCTCTCTGTCTCTTTCCATCCAGTTCTGTCTCATACTCGTTCTCTCTCTCTCTCTCTCTCTCACGCACCACAGCTCACTCTTTGTCCCCCCGCCTTCCGACACAATGCAGATTGCTCGTGTAATTCAACCGCAACTTAATTTTCCGTGAGAATGATTTCGTTATAGCAGTATAGTACAGCGTCTAAAGCGAGAGCGCAGAAAAAAAGGAAAGAAAAGAAAAAGATGGGGATTTGGGAGGGAGAGGGGAGGACGAGGTGCGAGTGTGACATCGCAGGACATGCAGGTAGGCCGAGAAGAGAATCCTATAAAAAGAGTAGACATTATCTCTGAGAGGTAAAAAGAAAAAAACGCCCCAACATGAAAATCAGCCGACGTTAGCACATGTGCTGCGCTATGTGTCATTCAACCAAAAAGATTTTCAAGGTTTTTTTTTATCATCTTTTTCTATAAGTCAATAATAGAGGTTAGAGGATGTTGCGACTTTTGGAGTCCGGGCGGCCCCTTGCGTTCCCTCATCACGCCTTGAGTGCGTCGCCAACAGCGGCTATGGTTCGCGACTTTGGTGCCCCGCCCAGCCCCGCCCTGCCCCGCCCCACCCCACCTCATCACGCCCGAATTGGCTTCCTTTGTAAAGCCGTGGAGCATAGTCCCGGCCGCCGCGGCAAGGGGCCGTCGAGAGCAAAGCTTTGTCATCACTTATTTCGCTCCGCCACGCGCTTGGGGGCCGCAGAGTTCGAACCAACGAGTACCTCACCGAATATTTACTAAACAACCCCCAAAAACCATCATACAAAAACATGACGGAATAAAAATAATTAATGGACTCTTTGCGTTAATCGGGCATTAAAATAACCACTTTACCCCTCTTTGGCGGGGCGGTGGCACCCACCGCTGCGGCGGGCAGCCAGTGGACGAGGCTCTGCGCTTGGGGGAATTATTCAACCGAAGTGATATTTGTTGCTTTAGAGGAGTTCGCCTTCCAGTGTTTGGGGGAAAGTTTGTGGCGACCCGACAGGCGGCCCAGGCAGACGGACAGACAGACGAACGGACAAACGGACAGACAGACAGAACGGACAAACGGACAGCCCGCACTAAACGCAAACAGACCAACTCCCGCCGATGCGCGCCCAAACCTCTCCTTTTCCTCTTTGAATATTCGGGGGAATCGTCATCAAATAGACCTTCTCCCTCGGAAATAAAAAGGAGGAGGGGAACTAGATGGGAAAAGGGCACTAGGTCTTTGAACACTGAGGGGACGTTTCTGACGTCATCGTCGGCGACCTGGTTGGTGGTGGGTGCCTGCAGGAGCACTGGCGACACCCTGACCCGCGGCCAGTTTCACAAGCGGCTGCGGGCAGTGACCACGTCGCTGTACCCGGCGCGCAACCAGTACCTCGAGGACAACACGGGCATCGTCATCGCGGACCCCGTGCTGCGGGAGCTGGCGCGGAGAGAGCGTGCCAACCGCGTGGGGCTGCTGGCGGTGAGTATGGGGACCTTAACGTCGGAAAATTCTCCCAGAAAAAATGGAAACTTTTCCTAAAACAAATCGGGAAAATTTGAAATACCTTCAGAAAATTTAGAAAAAAAGTAGGGATTCAACAGAAAATCCTTGATAAATTTAAAAAACAAAACAAAATTGATGGAAAATTAAAATTACTAGCGGTGAGTGCCACCACAGGGGGCGGCGGTGGCGGTGGCGGCGGCGTCGGGGGCGGGCTCCTCTCTGCAGTGGCGGCGGCCGCGAGCAGCCGGAGCAAATCCTCCGCGGATTTGCACGGTCCCCCCGGGGGGGAAGCTCGGCTAACCCAACC